CAATAATTAAACTCATATTCGATCGCATAGGCGGAAAGTTTTGTTCAAAAAGGATGATAAAAATTTTTCCAAAGGAAAGAATTTTGTAGCCTATGAAATTTTCATAATCGTATATCAATTGTAATGAAATCTAAAGAAATCAAGAAATTTCTTGAACATTGCAAGTCTTCCTCTATTCGTATTCAGGTCATATGTTCCTCTCAAACCTGTCCAAGTTTTCTTCTCCGAAACTTTATATAATCCATCTTTTTTTAGCGAACTGATGAATATCCAATCATTCTATCGAAAAAAATCAATCGAACAAAAAATTTTAGCAATAGAAAAAGTCCATCTTAATTAATAACGCAAACAACTGATGCGAATTTATCAGCCACTATCATTTATAAATTGAGAGGTATAACTTTTCGAACTTTTCAAGACAAAAAATTTGAGTTAACCAAATGCTTGGGTTCGACTGACTGAAACTCATCTTCATTTGTCTATTTGCATGAAAAATGACTGCATGAATTGATTAATGATTCACGACCCAAATGAATCAACTCTCTCAGCAGAGCAGCTGAATATGACACAAAATTCAGTTAGACCTGTCAAAATTATAATCATTCAAAAAGATCAATGCACTTATCAAGTGCGTGGATATCTGCTTATCCAGTACCGATGGGGGGATATTCTGTGCGAGTTTGCGATGCTTCCGATAGTAGAAATTTGACCTTCGTACGTGCGATTTCAGTTTCCATTATATGCCATTAAAATTCATGAATATAGTCTTCATTAAGTCAAACAGTTCATCGTTTGTGATGTCCATAAAGCATAGCATGATCCTTATGGATAAATCCTCGAAATCAATTATTGAAAATGATTGGAACCAATTTATATTAGATTGTTATTTGCATAAAAGATGGGATCTGATCACTTCAAAATGATCCACAACAGTAAGTGATCACTTCAAGCGTATATAAATGCCTTGAAACTGGGAACTAAGTGCTAAGTTTCACTCATCGAAATTCATGACTATAGTTTTTTCGTAGATATACATGTATGTTTAAAAAAAAGAAAGTATTTAGCTATAAATATATGTGAAAATCATTGTGCTCACTCGAAAAAACTCCTCGAACCAACTGTTCATGTGACGATTTTGAATCACTCGAACTTTACTAATTCAGCAATCCACTCTGTAATAATACCAGTCTCGAACAAACCATGCAAGCATGATAAGTCGCGGTCACTTTAGTCTTAGTACTCCATCCAGCCTTCTTCAAAATATCCGACAACCATTTCCGTCATTCCCTTGAGTTACTATTTTTACTTTCCATTCATAACTTTTTTTCCAATATCTTACATGAATCAGTTCTGGCGTTTCACTGTTTTTTTCCTTTTGTTTATTTATCAGTTTATTGTCATNGTACATGCATTGCAGCTGTCCATGATACTCACAGATAATTTTCGTTTGATTGTATTTCTATTAAACTAACAAACACGAATTCGTGTTATTCAAATACTTTTGAAAAGCAGATTTTATTAGTAGTATTCTTCTTTGGAAAGTAGTAGTAGATACACTCATATATGTAAACGAAATGATGCCATATTTACAAGTGAAATATCATAGAATCTGAAAGTCTGTTCCGCACATGATGTTTGTCACTGCGTATTGCTGTATCTAATCACTGGGAACAAAGCTTATTGTTGAGAAGCTTTCTGAGAATAATATTTTGTAAACAAGGTGATATATTCTCATGAGTAGCTGCGTATTTTCATGTCCAATTTAACGCTTGTTGTTATTGTGGAATACCGATACGATAATCGCTGATTCATGCGTGAACTATTGTATTGTAACAGATCACGATGCGCGTTTCGTGACGATTCGTTGTGGGCGATTTTCAAGAGTATATTCATTTGTGAGGTAATTAAGAGGTGATAAGGAAAGGAGAGATGCCGAATGCTGAACCGTCAGAGTGCCTTTATGTATGCGACAAGTGTGCAGCTGTGATACGACAAGCCATTTTTGTTTGTTGCTCAAAATGGAGCGACAGAGATATGTATTTGTGTTTGGAGGTAAGTAGTTTTCAGTTATACGTAAGGAATATATCAAAAATGAAATGATTTTGAATCATTTCACACATTCAAACCATTATGAACAATATTGCAATCAGAATCAGTCTAATGGATTGTCCATTTGTAAGGTCTGCGATGGTGATTACAATCGATTGTACATTTCCACTTTTTCATATGCCATTGATGCAGTTATCAGTCTGGAAAGGTGTTCCTCTCTGTATAAGAATTAGTATATGTGCTCAGATCTATAGCCGTACGAAGGTATACCACTGCAATTACTAAATAAAAAAATTGCAGTGTTTTAAAGAAATCAACTGTATGGATGAGATGTCGGCAACGCAAAGTGATGACAACGATCAATTAAGTGAGATGAAGATCATTTTTCGTAAGCAAAGGATTCAACGATTACTCTCCGAGATTGAGGTATTCAACTGACTACATTACACTACGATATCAGTTGTACTCTCACAATGTTTCTCTAATTGATTATGCAAACTACATCTCATTTTTCTTATTAGATATGAACTAGTTCAATAAAATGCCATACTTTTATAAGCATTTCCATTTGCGCCAACTGTGAGCGATTTGTGTAAGTGTGGATATGTGGAATTGGTTCGGTGAAATGAACGATTAGATAAACTGCAACAAGTGATATATACACATTGTTGATGATGCAAAAAGTGCATGTGAAGTCGGCGGCATTCATTTAACATGTTTTTAATGTTGTAAAATGTTTCATTAAAATGCATCAGAAACACTGCAGTTATTATCTTGCAGAAGGAATGTGAGAAGCGCAGACTGAGAAGTGCTCGGCGTCGTTATGACGCAATACTGCAGTGCGAAGAAAGATTTCGTAAAATAATTCAACATGCACAACATGTCATAATCATCAATGACTTCTATCATTTGTTTACAAATCAACATCGTTATTTCTCGAAATTATCTTCATCAAGTTAGTCTTCTTTCTTTATTTGTTTAGCACATTTCCACTGAATAACCAATTCATGAGCACTGCTCTGAATCCTGATAGAATGAGNTATCGTGGACTTGTTAGTGCTGGAATATTACTTCAAATCCTCCAAAGATTAAACACCGTCAAGCCTGACTCATCGTCAGTAAATGCTGAAGTAGTTTTGTATGATATTAAAATTTTTAAATATTCGAAGAATACATCGGTTTCATTAAATATTTCCTCAATTGCTTCAAAGCTTCATTTTTGTGTGTGCAAAGCCTATATTATCTGCAACGATACAACAATATCAGTGCTTCGTATCAGCTCAACTGCATTCACGTTATCGTAATGGTTCATTACTGTGTTCATTGTATGATGAAAAGAAATTTATTTCAGATGAAAAAATCTCATCAATGTACAGTATCGCGAGTTGTTCAAAGGACATTGCTGACGATGCGCAAGTACTACGAGGTATTTTTCATTTCTCGAATAAACCGAATTGTATGCTAACATTGTAATATTCACGATAGATGAACACGTTTTTGAATAGATGGTTTCTCAATCATTCAATCGTCAAAAAATATCATTCATGATTACGAAGTTCGATTTATTAAGAGGTTGCGGTTAATGTTTCTTGGTAGAAAACGGATGCGTTTAACGCTAAATGAAAATAGTTTCAGAACTGGCAAATGATCTAACGATTGCACTGATGAGTGCTTACGTGAATGCAAAAGCAGTCGTTGATATGATACTTCTGATTTATATATTCTTGGCATCTCAAATATCACGTTTCAACACGGATAGCGACAATTTTTTCTTGAATTGTTACCATAATACTCTCGCTACCATGGATTCTGCTCTGATCTCAACTCTAAATTCTGCGATCATAAACACGGGTGATCATCAGTTTGATCAACTGGCAACAGACTATTCATTTGATGATGAGGATTTTTGCACGGGTTCAGCTTTTCTCGAAGCTGATTCAGCGGACGGGTACGCTGTGGGTCGATTACATTCCGTGCATCGGCTTATAGCCCGACCAAACCTCAAACGGTACATTTGTACCAACGATCATCAGTTTTATTATCGTAACCATAACGATCACTGTCATCTGTCAGTGGATCACAGCCAGCATTCACCAACATTCATGCAATTCGGTGGTGACAATAAGTATGGTTTGAATTCGAAGCGAGCGCCAACCAACGATCGAGCATATCGTAACGTTGGTGGTGGTGGCGGCGGGGCAGCTAACTCATCGACTAGTTATTCATCGCAGTCATCCAACAAAATTCGATCGAAAAGTTCATCCCAATCAACATCCAACAATTACGGTTCATCCCTCTCACAGCCGTCTACTTCAGGTTTACATTCACGTAATGAACCTCACAAAACATTTCATTTATCATCCTCGTTATCATCATCTGCCAAGAACGTACCAAGCAAAGATCGACTTCGCGATGAACGTAAAAAACCATCGAATGAGAAAAAGAATTATGAAAGAATAAATATCGAAAAACAGCAAGAGAACCGGCGGTGCGCAACCAGTACAGAAAGGAGTAAACAAAAGCGAGTTCCATCGGCTGATCGACCAACAACTACCAAATATATCCCAATGTCGGAATTGCCATCGTCTTCGAAGAGCACCAAAACCAAATCCACAAAATCAACGTCTTCTATTCCGCAATTGTTTGCACCCGAATTTCTGGTTAGCGAAAAGAATGGCTCAAAAGTGGTGACTAAACTGGACCCCAGTCAAGTGGCTAAATTCTTGCATCGTTCCACATCAATTGGTGCACTGAGGAACACCAAAGACGAACAAGCCAGAGTGCTTATCAAAAAGGAATTATCTGCATCATCCACAATGTTAAAACCGAAAGTATCGAACCAAGAAAGGAAACATCGGGACTCCACTCGAAAGACAACGGCGAACAGTGATCAGCAATCAGTGGAGAAGAGAAAATCTTCGAAAAAAGTCAACGAGGAACGAAAAAAACAACACTCTCCATCGCCATCGACAAGTAAACACAAAACTAATTTTGTTTCCACTTCACCACCTCCATTGTGTCGAAATACAAAATCACTCACTAAGGAGAAGATCAAGAAACGTAATGAAGTTCCGAATGAGAATCATTTGAAATCAGTAAGATCAAACGCAACCGACCGGACACAGTCCATAAGTGATAAAAGAGACTCACTGTCCAAGCAAGTGGTACCACCTATATCGCATCCAAAACTGATGACACCTCTTCTGGCACCAAGAAAACCAATCACCATTTCATCCGATATAGCAGTTAAGTCAGCGACTACTTTGGAATTGAAGAAAAGTCACAAAACGTTATCGAAAATTGATAGCACAAAATCACATCAAATTCAATCAAGAAGTGAATCCGATTCAGTGATAGGTTGTAAAGATCCACAGTCGTATCAGAATGATAAGCCATCAATAGTGAAAGTGATAACTGCTCCATGGAAGGGTAAACGTGAAGGAATAGCACCATCCAGTGAAGTCCGCAACAAGCCATCAGATGAACCGAGGCAGAGAGGTTCCATCGATGTGAAACCAACTCATAGTGGCGAAAGAAAGATGAAGCGTGAGAAAAGTTCATCGAAGAAAGAGTTCGAAAAGCAGATGAAAGGTGAAAATATTGAAATATCATCTAAAGATATCAACGAGCGAAAATCAACTTCATCGAAGGTTAGAACTACAGATGCATCTCCAGTTTCCAAACCAACAGATCAGCAGATGGACACCAGAGAATGTCATGATAAAAGTGTTCGAGAATCACTGAAACCTACCGAGCAAAAGCGGAGAGTCATTCAGCAGGAATTGCCGATGGACACAAGTAGTGAATCGTATGAACAGTCGTCAGTAGTTGTGGAATTAGTGGCTAAGAAAATGAATAAAATTGACATCAACGCGAATGTATGTGCGGTGAAAAGAGTCCGACGAACCAGTGACAATAACGCTACGGCAGAGTTACGTGTACAAGAGCATGATATTGAAGCAGAATCGAGAAGTGCACCCGCAAGCGTTACACTTTCGAAAGAGATTACATCGACAATTGAGATGAGAAATGGAAAAGATGCAGAAAAGGAAGTAGCCAGTGATGCCATTGGTAGTGTTACTGTAACTACAAATGAGCTGTTCCGTTCAGAGAAAACATCTTTCAGTGAAGAATTACGACGACTAGATGCTCAGTTCAGTTCATCTTCTGATTCTGAAGAAGATTTTGTAAGTACGAGGAATACCTTCATACCATTCACCTCACAAAACACACCAGCAACCATTGCTGATCGCTCATCAGAACAACATCAAACGTCTACTTCACTCTTACCGCTGGCATCTGAATTTGCATTTCAGTCAATCGACGGTACGTTATTAGCTGATATTTGTGAAACACTTGATAACCCTGCCAATATCGCAACGCCACCAATGTTATGTGCCGAATATGATGAGGAAGAAAGTGATGCCCCTCTCATGGAATCATCGCATAATTCTGTGCCTTCACCATCTGATCAACTTCAAACACAACGAATGTCAGCTAGCGTCCCGACAATGTCCTCTGCAGAATCAAATCCCCAACAATTATCTAGAAGTTTAGCCGCAACACCAAGATATTCACCGGTCACTCCACCATCAGTAAGTACGGAGAACGTTGAAGAGGATCCATCATCAGCACGTCCTGAAACGCCAGCACGTCCTGAAACGCCACCATCAGTGGAGATGATTCTGAAAGCGGTCAACAGTTCATGTCAAATTGATGAGATGGAGTTGAAGAGAATTATTGACGGTTTCGAAGTGGACTACAATCCCATTCTCGCGAATATCAGTGTAAGTGACGTGAATGAGGCAATCCAACAAACCGTCGAATCTGATCACAACTTGAATGGTACAAACATACTGGAATATGATAATTTGTCAGATGCGCTTCAATCGATGTTAAATCCAGAAACGTACGTGACGAATCTTTCACCCGAGGAATACTGCGCTTCTTTTGAGCCGGGCACAAGCACAGACAATGAACTCTCACCAGATTCATCAGAAGAAGGTAGATCATTTGCACAATGCAGTGAAGCATCACCATCAACAGCAGTCACATCTGCTGCAACGACACCAACACCAACAACAAGAAGCGAGCTTACACCGACAAAGTCAGCACCCAATTTCAGTGTCTCACCTGCGCACTCACCTGCAACGCTACAAAAACTTCGGCAGAAAAGTATGCGTTTCTCGATGGAACATGATCACTCCTATCTAACGCCATCGACATCTTCCCGACCGCCAGACGATGTGTGTAAAACACCACAAAAGCACGATCTGTCCTCACAGTTTCCATCTAATCCAAGTAGTCCATTCCGTATAACAACTTCACAGCCATCAACGAGCAATGCCACTGCAACCAGCAGTAATCGAGCACAACTATCCGAATATGAAGCAGCTTTATTGAAAATTGATGAGATTATTGAGGAATGCGAACGTGTCAGTAAATCACAACAACTATCTGATTACGAAGCTGCGATGCGAAAATTAGAAGAAGTGGTTAAGGAATGTGAAAAAGAGGAGAAAAAGGAAGAGATGAGGAAAATGAAAGAAGCTGAACAAACCAAAATACGACAGCGCGAAGAAGAGGCTCGACGAAAAATCGCCGAAGAACGAAACAGAGCTGCTGAACGTTGTCGACAACAAAAAATTCGACAAACTTGTACAGAAGCTATGAGCCAGTTAACAGAAACTTGCGCTGACGATCTTTTGAGAAGTTCGTTGGAAAATGCGGCTGCAGTGGAAGTGACCGAAAGAAGAACGAATCAGCTGACCGATGAATGTGTGATTGAGGTATCCAATCGTTGTATTGATGATACATTAAAAACATCACTTGAAGTAGAGGCTCAACAATGTATTGCAACAAAAATTACTCAAGAGGTCATAAATGAATCGATTGAGAATATTATCAATACAACTTTAGCTTTGGAACTGGATCGACTGCACAAAATCCGGGTGCTTCTACTAAACTCTGTTTCTGAGATATGCACAAATACCGTCCAACATGTACTCTCATCAGCTGTAGCAAAAGAAGCCGAAGAAAGCGTCCGCAGAATCGTTTGTGAAAAGTCGACAGTCTCAGTGGTAGATGAATGTAGCAAAGAAATTCTGCAAATGACATTTGAGCAAGAATGTAAACGTCAAATAGACGAAAATAATCTGAAGGCAAGTTGTGTAGCAACAGTCAGCTCAGAATCTGTTGAAGACTTAGTGTCGATAGTACTCAATTCTGAGATTCGAAGGCATGAACTCGAAGAAGCGCTAACTGGTAAAGCTACAGCTCGTGTGACTCAAGATTGTTCATCAAATGCACTCGATGTTTTGCTCAATAGTGCAATTAATCGCCACAATAAACAAGAAGCAATGAAAGACCGAGCCTTTTTGATGATTTCCAACGACTGCATTGATGAAATTATCCAAACGGTGCTTTCAAACGAAATTCAGCATTCTCGCAAACAGTTTCTAAAACGAAGTGCAACAAAGACGATCACTGAGTCATGTGCTAATAATATGATCTCATCATCACTCAAAAACGAACTTCAACGATATTGCCGGATTGAAGCGATGAAACAGCAATGTACTGCAACGGTTGCTGAGGCTTGCACTAGTAGCATAGTGTCCACCACGCTTGTTGGAGAAATCGACCGGTATCGTAAGCAGGAAATGATGCGATACAACGCTGTAACAACTTTGACAGATTCTTGTACGACGAATCTCATGAAAAGTATACTAGCTGAAGAGATTGAACGACATCGGAAATCTGAGAGACTGAAGAAGAACGCTTCTGAAGTTGTAACGGAACAATGTGCGAATGAGCTGGTATGTAGCGTGACAGAATCTGAAGCAATCACATGCATACGAACCAAAAAACTCGTTGATAATGCATCTGAAACAATAGCCGATTATTGTACGCAGAAGATATTGAACAACATATTCAAGAATGAAACTGAGAGAATCATGCAATTGTTAGCTGAACAAACACAGTACAAAGCATTCGAAGTGGTTGTGAAGACATCGGTTGATGACATTCTTGCTTCAGCTCTTGAAGATGAACTTTTGGTTGCGATTAACAACGCTGAGAGAAAACTGAAAAGACGATCCACTGACAAAGTGCTCAATGAATGTGTGGATCGACTAATGAATTCAACGTTGGGTAAGGCAATTCAAGAGATGTTTCGGAACTACAGCAAAAAAATGACCGCGATCGCACAGTCAAAAGTGGTTGAGAGTTGTACGGATGAGTTGTCACGTACTGTATGGAGCAATGTTGTATGTGAGCTATTGGCCGAAACGTCGAAACGAATGCAATCGAAAGCAATCGAACAAATCACCGAACAATGCATTGACGCAATATTCGAGTCGACCAAAAGAAAGGAAGTTCGTCGCACTGAACGTAGAGCGATTTGTCGTATGGCCATCAGAAAACTTGTCGATACGATTGTTCGCGAAGAAACTGAAGAGAATGAACGGGTTGAAGCAGCCAGTGATATATTACACTCGATTGAGGAGCGAATATCTTACGATGAAACATGCGAACAAGCTGATAGTCTTATAAAGAAACTAAGAGAAAGAAATGTTGCTGATGTTTGTGCACAATTACTCGGCGATATATTAGATGAAACAGAGGATGAGGAAGTTGAAGAAGTTGTTGAGAAGATATTCGAAGAAGAATTATCCACCATACTCGGAGCATATCAACAAGGAACTTCAAAATCGTTTTGTAACATCGGAATGAACCACTCAATAGATGGTTCAAAGAAAGTGACTGATCTTTTGGAAATGAAACGTTCGCTTGAGAGTGAAAAAGAATTATATCAAATTGAGGAAATGAAAGTTGAATGCAACAAGCGAATAGTGGAAGTGGAGGAATACTTGAAGAAATTCGATGAATTTTATCGAAATGATTGTCAGTTGATGAATGAAGTGGAAAAGGAACGAAAGGATTACCTATTCATGGAATTCATGACCGAATCGACATCGGTTAACGAAACTGAACGAATTGTGGCCGAATCAAAAAGTCGAATTGAAGCTCTTTGGACGCATCGAGAAGTGCGTTTGGATGATGTGAAAAATTTGATCCAGCAACTCGATCATGAATTAAACATTTCGAAAGAGTCACAAAAATCGGCGATTACCGAGCTCGGCAAAATGAGTAGATTGGGACAGTCGAAGAAAAATCAACTTCAGGTCCGTAATTTGCACAGTTTTTCCCAGCTTATTAGAATATTTATTTTCACGAGAGTGCAATTGTCCATTTCAAGAATGCTGCAAAAGAATAACTAGAACATCAGAATTTTACTCACGAATTTTGTTTTATCGTTTTTTTGAAATTTCACTATGATGTACTTTTTTATTTGATCTTCATTTCCGCTACTTTTCTTCGATTTATCAACTTGTAAAATTTCTGCTTAACATAAACAGCGGAAAGAAGCATTCATGCGAGTATTCCTGAACAAGAATCCCTCAAAATTAGATATTAGATGAAAATTTCATAAATCGATGTTTTTAAACGCTCAGAACAACACAACGACCTCATTTCAGGTACAAGTTAATAAAGAAAGACGTGAGAGACAACTTGCGATTGGTGAATCATGTAATGAAATCGAATCGAACGTCAGCAATTTCCAAAATCTAATGCATGCGCGTGAAAAGACCGAGAAGAGTGTAGCCTTATTGGCTCAAACAATTCAAGAAACGTGGAGTAATTTAAAGGCATTTTTATCGTCGAAACAAAAGCGAAAACAGGTTGTTGGCTCCTTGGAAACACAGCATTTAATTGAAGCTAAAACAACCAATAAATTTATACGGAAATTACAACGTTTCATCGACGATTTGGAACGTAAAAAAGAGGTGAATGATGTGGTCGAATATTTACTGAATTCAGTTATATATGCAGAACATGAAGAAATTGAACGTCAGAGTGATATTCTTCATACAGTTTCAACACTGTTGTCGACTGCCTCTTACAATTGTGCATGTGAACAAGCGAATGATTTATTACTGAAAATCGATAAATATCAACTGAATCATATTACGGAATCGTGTTGTTCAAATATATTCGACGATGTGATCGATTCGTCATTTCAGTCAATTGCTTCAGATTCGTTCAATAAAGCAATCGTAGAGCATGTCATCAAAACCGATTATAATTCGAAAATTGAAATTCGTTTACCGAACATAGGCGTCATGAACCAAGAGGAATGGCAATTGATGGGATTGTATGCGAGTTTGAACGAGGGGAATCTGGCACAGGCTGAAGAAGATTCGCAAAAACTCCAGAAGAGAATGGAATCTCGTGAAGCCGAGGTTGACGCGTTTGCCGAATCGTTCGATCGGATAACACAAAATGATATGAAAACATTGGAAAATGTTGAAGAGAAACGCAAGGCGATCGATACGCTAAACAAGAAACTGGGTGAGGCATCAAACGTTCGAGAAATTGAAGAATTCCTTCATCAGCTGAATAGCCGACTTCCAACGATATTGGACATGAATGATGGTTCGCTCTCAATTGACAAAATTCTGAAACAAATTTCATCAATTGAAAACGAACTAGCAAGTGTTAAACATTACGAAATAGCGTTAACCGATGAACTCAAGATGTTGCCGACATGTGGTCGAATCGAACAAAAACAATATAAGAGGGAGATCGATGAGGATCGTCGACTGCGGAGAGCATCGATTGGAAGTGTTGAGATGAATCTTTCGAATTTAGCATCACAACTGAACAAACGTATCGCATCGCTCCATCGTAAGGAACGCCGTTTACAAGATACCATCTCGGAGTATTCACCTGGTCCAAGTTCGAGACATCGGCTTCCTCACGCACGATCCACCAGCTCAATTCAACAACAGCCGCAAGCATCAACATCAGATGATCGTGCGCATACAAGTGATGTCGAAAAATTGGATTCATTCATTGAAGATATTAAAGAATTCGTTGAGTATCGACAGCGAATGAACGTTATACACGACTTACTCGGTGATTTGATCAATTACATTTCATATGATCTAACATGTTATCAAGCACAAACAATCATCAATACCATGCAACAGAATGATATCAAACGATTAACGAATCAGCTGTCACAAGATATCCTTGACGATGTGCATGATGATCAGGTGCAACAAATCGCTGATAAGGCTATTCGAACAGCCATTCAGAGTGCTTTCATCGTAAATTCAGAATTGAAATCACCATCGGAAGGCAGCGGCACACAAGAAGAACGGTGTTCTTTCGGATGGAATAACGCCGAAGTAATTTGCAAAGAAGTCGCTCGTGAACGGTCCATATGGTTTCGAGAGGTTGGAGCGTATTATGAACGACTTAATCAATTGACTGAAGCTGACCGGAAGTTGTTGATAAAGACTGAAAATGAGTGCAGAAAACGTTTAGTAAAGATTCGAAGCTATGATAATGTAACAATGATGAAACAAGTGGATAGCATACTCAAATCTAAGGGAGCTAAAGTGGAGAAATACGTATCATGTGTTCAAACAACACCAATTTTTGAATTTGATTACTGTGCTCTTCAGCAGGAGCTTGATCGCTATGTACAGGAAAATATTGCTAAAGAACATGATTTGATCAGTCAAGAGCAGTCGATAGAACGTATCAGAAATGAATTCAACGAGGTTTTGATAGAAGAGCAGAAAAACCGGAGTGAATTCCTGCTGGCTGTTTCTTCGACGTTCGATGGTATCATAGAAGTAATCCAACGAGGTCTATTACAATTCCAAGCCAAATCTTCAGATGTGAATGATATAATCCATAGGTGTGATAACATATCACCTCTTTCAACCGCTCCAATTAGTTGCTCTGTTAAAGATGATATTGCCTTAGCGTTATCAGTTGTAATTGATGCGGTGGAATGCGAAGAAATGAACGATTTCATCGATGAGCTTACTTCATTTGTTGAGCGAGTTAAACGCGAACAACTGAGTCGTCCAAGAAGTGTGCTCGAAACGGCTGTTCGGGATGTTATTGATTCAGTTTGTCTAGCCGTCGAGGCATCATTTTGGCAAATTGAACCGAATTTGCAAGATCGTATGATTCGTTGGGGACCGCCATTCCACTACGAAAAATTCACGCAACTGTTAGAAGCTGGTTTGTTATCAGCGGAACCATCGTTTGACTTTCTGGCTGCAGAAGAAGAAATTGGAAATGTGGATTTTCCACAATTGCGGACCCCGCTACCCATTTCAACCTACTGTACACCAATTCCAATACAACTCGATTTCTTCGATGAACCACCGGAGAATTTCTTGGAATTTGATGATGAACCATCGGAGGACGGTGATGAGCAGATTACTCACTCGATTACTGCTAAACAAAATGTCATACCAAATATACTCGAATTAAGTGTTGATATGAGTGACGAAAAGAAAAAGCCATCAAGAAAAAGCTATCGCTCTGTGTCATTGTCTCATTCGCATGATGATGCTGATTCACAAGAGATATCACCAACGAAAAAACGTTCATCAAGTGCACCAGCGAAAGTTTTGCGGCTTGAAGATATTGTTCCTACTGATCAGTCGTGTCGCTATGCTCCGTCAAATGTTGATCTGACCTCGGGAATACCGTCTACAATCGCTCGACCCGTTCCAATTGCCGCTCCTCCAACCAGATCCGCTCGTCTTTCTGAACTACCAATAATGTCTTCGGCATCTTCGTCAAATCTTCTGATCGGTAAAAGCTCCGCTTTCACACCTTTCCATCGTCAACTTGCACAATCCGAAAGTGATGTTGAAAACAATCCGTATCGAGAGACGATTCTGGATGCAAATCTCTTATCACTATTGTTAACGCAAATATCGCCTTCATTACAACAGAATTCATCATTGAATGTTGTTGATGAACCTCCTCCAGCAGATCCAAGACCAGCTAAACGAATCACGCCATCTTTATTACCAACTTCAACTATCAATCGCAACGTACGAATTCAACAAGAACAACAGAGATCTTTGTTAGATAATTCATTTCCAAATGTGAACAGTGAGAAGCGCCTCCATGTGAGCAGTGGAAGTGAAAAATTGTTGAATGATAAAAGGAATACATATGAGGAGAATTTGAGAGCTTTTGAGAGGTCACTCACTCATAAACGAAAGCGTGTTTCGTTCGAAGAAACCGAAAAAGATGATGAAACAAAGCAAGACGAAATTGAATACTTGCGTACCATAATGAAGACCAACTTAAGTATGCAGCAGTATCCTGGCCTTCGTCGAATGAAGAAGGTTGAAAGTACACTGAATATGGCAAGTCTTTGTACACATCATGGAAATCATTCATTGACATCCTTATCGTATGCAAATTTCGATGAGGAAACAGAACAGTCGTCATCTTTGAAGAAAGCATCATCATCAGCTGTGAACAGCACTGGTACCACCCAACTGTTACCGTCCATCTACGATAATCTGTCGGATCCGAGTAAACGCTTCGCATGTGAACTACTTTACGGTGGATTCAAACGATTCTCAGATGAAAATGCCGAAACAATGTCGCGTAAAGGTATAATCTATCAACGACTGTGGTGTGCTGTGTTGGTAACAAATCCATTCGCAACATGGATTAAGAACAATGAACGTATCACAATTGCGCAACGTGCTCAAATCCTTACGTACTGCCGTCGTGGTACAAAATTGTTCACTGCTTATGCGAAATTCGCTCGCTATATGGCTGAAAATGTCCACATCATTAAGCCAGTTCTATCGGTAACCAATATTCCGTTTTGTTTCGATCGATTGCCGTTTGCATTCGCACGGATATTCGACTGTATCTTCAACGAAATTCGTGCGCAAATGGAAAAGCATCAAGTAACTCAACAGAATCCTCAAAATCACCTTGACAAGATAAAGTTGTCGAGTTCAGAATCACAACCACAACAAACATCAATGTTGCCTTCATTCTCAGATGCGTTCAAAAATAAAGCACCACTCTATTACGCCTCCTCGAATACCTGCGATCCATCGTTACCAGACAATCTATTCGCCAACTATTCTGAACTGCAATCTAAGACACGAACGCAGCCACAATTACCTGGAAATTTGTTCTGCAACAGTTCAGAATTACAATCTCAAGAGCAAAACCCGCAACAGTTTACTGCCGGTTCCAATACAATTGGTTCAGCGCTGTTCGCGAAAGCATCAGAACTAAATGAACCGACGCCAGCGCCTGAGGTGAGTATTTAATGTTAATAATCCCCTTTGTGGTACTCTTCTCAAATCTCAGTATCTGTTTTCATTTGTAAATGTTCATTGAATGTGTTTTATTAAGCACTTTAAATATTGCATCGCCGAAACAGTGAAGATTTTTTTAAATTTTCGATTGTTCAATTCGGTTTCCAAGATCAAATCGATAGCAGTAGTCGAGAGTTTGTTTTACAGTACAATAATTTTGCAGAATCTAATTAGCGTACCATCAGATACAGTGTCACTCACAAGTGCTCCAATAAATGAACAACAAACTGCCAGTGTATCATCAAAACAAAGTGAGCATAACATTGAATAAGAGTTTCCTTTAACTCATTTTAGTTACCTTGGATTCGCATTTTTTTGAATCATTCATAGCTACCGTATGCATGGAATTTGCAACTGTTGCACACCGTATGCAAACGATGCACATGTCGAATTCATTGTACCATTTTACAATGCCCATATATATATTTCAAGTATTGCTTTTTTTAAAGTATTGCACACGAATATGTATATTTCTGCAGCTGGTAAAACGCAACGAAAACCTCGAGGTCCCTCGAAACGAAGGAAACCTACAGAAAGCGCTCTTAATGATGGTAAATGTTCATTTGTCTGTCCTACTTATCTTGCTTTTTCTATATCATATCAGCTCCTAACCACTGGTGTACTTCGATCTGAAAGAGATTTGATTTTGCAACATCCTGATCGTGAATGTTGGGCTGCAAGGTTTATGCATGGAAATATGCGAAAATGTGCGTGTTTTCTTACAATTAGTTAACGAAAAAGTTTTCCATGTAAATGTTGCGATTAATTCAGACTCTCAGCAGCCTTCTACATCTGCTCAACAACTAGATGCCGTGGTTCCTGAGAAATCCAAGAAAAAGGTCAGTAACTGTGGCAGAATTGTGACCATAAATTCTTCCAATTTTATTCATTACATTCGCTTTCATGACATTCTTAATATTGAGAAATGGATTGGTCGTCAATAACCGTTTTCTTTCGGCAATAAATGTGATCAATTCTGAAGATTTATTTCTAATTCCTTCTGTTGTCATGACATTGGTTTGAGCATCTAATGTTGTCAGCATGTCCAGCGATTGCATCTTTATGAACTAGAATTGATTTCTCTTTGAAACGACGAATTTCTCTTTCCTAGGGCACAAAACGAAGCTCGTTGACGAAACCAATTCGAAAGGCAAAACAGCTGCTGACAGGCTTGTTAAATATCGACTCAGAAGTTGAGTCAGATGGAGAAGAAAAAGAACGAAATGCACGAGTCATAGTACCAACAACCTCTTCGAATCCATCGATTACATCTGGTGTCGTTAAGAAGAGAGGTCGACCGAGGTTGGTCAAGAAATCAACTGATGATGTCTCTGAACAGCAACGACAGCCACAAAGGGAATCAATGGAATCATCAATTAAATCCTCAACAAATCAGATAGGAACTAAGTCAAAACGACAAGCTTCTGCTGCCACGCGGTAATTTTTAAATCAGACCTATTGTTCAGTGAAATTTTTGGAGTTGTTCGCCGTTATCAGTTGTTTGCTTTTAGTGGTCGTAGGAGACGTCATAAATCGACCTCTTCCGAAAGCTCAAAAATATCCGAGACGAAGCCAACTCAAAAAAAGCGAAGCTGTACCATTGAATCAAAAATGCGAACTCCAGAACCCGAAATGAGCCGAGAAGAACTCGTGGTGAGTGATTTTCAGAATCGGAAACGTTTGTCCATAGTAGCCTCATCGTTACTGAACAATTTTTTGATCATATTCTTATCTTTATTATTCGATATGGCATTAAAAAATAGATACTTCGCAGTCTTATCTCGTGGAGACATCTATTTTTATCGACCTGTTATTATTAGTGAAGCGGAACTCATATGTTGTTATGTCTGTGAAAATTTCTTGTACGATACCTTTTTTGACACTAAAAAACATGGAATATTCTAGCGGAAAGTAGGAATTTTGTGTTATTCGAACTAGAAATTATAATTTCCATTGAACTAATTTCCAATGCCCGATCCACGTTTCAACTCAGTCATTTCATTTATTTTGCCCTTACGAGATAACGGTTCTCTTATCATAGTGACTTAGGTTCTGTGTTGATGTGAGTAATTAGTGAAATAATTTACGAGTGTTATTTATAGGTGAAAGCCGTGGAGAGAATAATCGCATTGGAGTATGGTCGACAATGTGTTCCGTTCGCGGTACTGATGATCATTATGGAGGAAGTGATCAGTGCTGATCAGAAAGGTTCAAATCGCTTCAATTTTGTTTCAAAACGATTCGGTTATTTTAGTGACATGCTGAACAGTGATCATTGATGAAATAAATAAGAGTTTCGAAATTCAATTTGCATTCAGAGTCCATTTGTATGTATGAGAATTTCACATTGCACATTAATGTTGCACATTAATTTGTATGTATGAGAATTTGCATAGTGCGCCAAAAAATTTCTTCAAGATTAATGATATGTAAATGACAAGATCCAGTGTATTTTCATTCAATGAAGGCAAAACAGCATTGTTTTATCCGGTTTCCTTTGTATCGAAACAAATACATACAATAGTGCCTAGTAGCCATATGGTTTTGTTTCAATTGTTTTGATAAGGTCAGTCCCGAATAAGGGTCGAATCGCACTCGCGATTGCAGGACATTTTTGCATTTGTGCAGTTTTATCAACAAATCGCCTTTCTGAAACATTGACATCTTTTAAGGCGACGATCTCAGATCGTTTACACTCAATCCACAACTGTTGTCGAGTTTAGAGGGCGCGAACAGTGAATCTTGGATGCCGAAATTATTCCAGAAAGATCACAAAAAGGTTAGAAGAAGGTTCATCGTTGTGCACGCATGTTTCTTAATACTTTCGCCTTTCTTCACTTTCGATATTCCACACCAGGAGTTGCCATAGTGGATTTTTTCCCCTACGTTCAATGTGCGGTATCTTCTGCGATCTGTGGCACCGCCGTATTCCCAGTAAGATCTGAACGCTTGGTATCACAGTGTTTTCAAATGTAACTCAAGCAGTTCTAAAACCGGTTTCAACATACCATAAAAACGGTTTAATTCGTCTTAATTTTGCGATCAGTTTATGACGCGAATCCGTGAACTCAGATTTCCGCGACGTTTTTACATGTTACTCAGATCTAAAAAGCGTTGTCGTAGTTACATGTTTGATATAGTTTTACGGTTTAGTTTATTGGTTTTCCGTAGATCCGACTCGTCACAAAACAGTATCAGTTGATGTTTAATTGTTTGGAATTAATTCCAGAAAGTAAAAATCGATGAATGCGCAATGATCGAATTATTGGATGCATTGCTGAGGAGAGCGATTCGAATTGCGATTTCGGATAAAGAGAAAGAGGTTCGTTGATTGACTGGATTCTTCACTGATCTCATTCATCTTATTCTATTTTTGAAAGTTTTCTCTCTTGATTTCATTTCACACGTTTTTTCGCATTTTAATCATAAATTTTTCAAATCGTTGTGGGAATATGTGTTCAGTGCATTCACAATCCTTTTTATAATTTCGGCACTCAAATTTTTTGATTTTCTTATTGAAGCAATGACAAGTTCGGAAACCATCGCTAGTGACAAAAATGTGGATTGTTATTTATTCATGATGAGCTCATTTCTCTTTGAGCGTTGAATAGAAACGTCGATTGATTTGCAGTTTTGCCGTAAGAACAAAATGGAAGAACTGGAATTTCACGTTTACAAGTTTAACGTTTGGTTGGAGAATGAGAACGTTCGACGAAAGAACAAGAAACGAAAGCAGGTGACACTCGTCGACGATCCGGCAATGAAAAGCGTTATGGCCATATTACGTGAGGTCAACTTCCTCACAGATATCTAACAAGAAGCATGCGGACGCATGTTGTTACGTCTTGCAATATTCAAGTGAACCAACAATAAAATTCACATCAGTCGGTTGCTCCAAATGGTTTTGCAGTTTACGGTTCATGATTTATCGTTGCACGAAACTTCACAAAATCATTTCACAATTGTTTGAAATCTAATTTTTATTCGTTACAAATCTCACTCGTATGTTTCTACCATCATCATCATCGAAAATAATTTATTTGTTCTCAGTTCATTTTCTGAATTCCGGTTGTCATTGCTAATTGATTGCGTTTGACGCACTATGCTCACTCATGGTGAGCGAAAGAAAGCTGTTTCAGCCTCTAGAAGTTTCGAAACAAATCAATTAAGTAAAAGAAATGCAAAATTACTGGTTGTAAGTAATGACTCAAATGAGATATTGAACTTTTTTATTTGTGTAACAGTTATGCGGGTAAATTTTGCTCGAAGATGAATGTTTTCTCAGTGAAAGAAAAATTCTTTGAAAGCGTATCATTTGTATATTATATATGATTATAGAGTGTTTATGTTGGCATTGTTTTCATTGTCATTATGTATTCAAATTATTATTGATGTGTCATTGTAATTACTTCATAGTTGTTGTTATTATCATCATTATTATTTTACCGTTATGAATATGGCCTATTTGAATGGAATATGAATTGGATATTGGTTTGTACACATCCATTTGATGATGACTAATTTACGAGTGTAACTTATTTTCTGTTGTTATTGTTGCGATTGTTCGTGAAGCCAAATTTAAATCAGGGATTACGAACTGTTCATCGAAAATATTGTACGTGAAGCATGAATGAAATTTTTCTCAAGTGAATATTTCTTGTATATTCAGTTACATTTTTGATATCTCATAAATGCCTCAGCTTAACTCATCATCAACAAATCCCACCAAAATTTGTCATATTTTTAAAATTTCTATTTAATTTTTGATATCTCAACGTTTTTATGTGCTCTAACTTATGCTTCAAAATTTTGATCATATAGATATAAGATATGCTGAAATACTCATTCATTTATGTCTTCTCGTTTATGTTTTGTAGTGATATTTTGTTGCGTTTTAAGACTATCGGATTGTCCTCTCTGAATTTTCCGTTCCTCTCTGTCAATAATCTTCGACTTTATTTGCTGCCACCATTCCAATTTTCTCAATCCAAATGTTCAATTCTTTCGTCATCTTCCTATATCCTTAAGTTCTCCAATTCTTAAGCATTGTACTATAACGTCGTTCAGGGTATTTCTTTATACATACATCCATGAAAGGTCGAAGATACATTTTCTTAGATATTCTCATCTTTTGAACCATTAGTTTTCGGACGAACTCATTGACGATTCTCACATCTCAGTCTAGGTCTTTTTTATGATGAATATTCGGTCCAACGAGCTTTTATGACCTCATTTGTACAAAATTATATATGCACGTAGAAGTGAGCTTCTCAGTTGCATTGCGTAAAGATTATCTTANTAGTTGGCATAAAGCTGAATGTACTGCGATCCCCAATACCAATGTTGTCACTAAATCATACTTCTTAACTTCCATTAATTACTGATAGTTGCTGAGATGGTGCTGAATATTTCTCGGTATTAGTAATTCGTTTGATCACTGTCATTTACCCGTAATTAAACAGCTGAAAAGTTGTGCATTGTTATAAATTATGAATTGTTGTTGTGGCTGCATGATGGCAGTCGTTCCAAACAAGAGATCTGACTGAACAGTGGATTATGAATATTTGTAAATGCTTCATCATCTGAACGGAAACGGAACACCTGAAGAAAAGTGCTCTGGAATAAATTAATTGTCCCAGTTTTGCTGCAAATGTGTGCCTAGCAATTAGATCCGCAAATCTTTTTCGCATATTCCATTTGTTTGAGTTGTAACGATGAAAGTTGATAGAAATCCGGTGTTTTGATGATCTCATGTTGATCGTCTCCAGTCTTCTGTTCAACTTCTGATGTTCAATGTTGTTGTGCAATAGGATTGCAAGAAACCGTACTGTATGCAACGGTAACGAATGAATAAGCTGAAGTTGCGAGACAGTTTCCTCTCTTAATCAGCAACCATCAAAATTGAGCGATCAATTTGATGTTGATCACATCTTAAGCAATTACTGATTGGGAATTTATATGATTGCTTTTATAACTCATCTCTTTGTCGTTCTTTCAACTGTATTCTCGAATGTTATTGTTGTTGTTATTATTGCTGTTGTTATTCTTATCACTACTGTATGATAGTTTAATGTGTTCATTATTAAAAAGTCGTCGTCGCATATTTATTACTTCATCATTATGGCGTTGCAATAATGTCGTCATCGTCGTTTACAGTTTTGTTACAGTGATACAATAAAATTGGTTGATGCATATACGCGTTAGATGAAAATCCCATTTAGTTTCCGAATTTCTCACCTCAGTTTGAGAGTTTGACGAACAGAAATTCAGTTCCGCTGCCCTTATCCAATTCTACGATGTGTACAACTGAAACTGGTGCACATTCTTGTCCCAATATTATGACTAGTTCAATATATTTTGCTCAGTTTAAGCATCCTCCGACAGGTTATGACTTAGTTCAAATTATTTGATACCGGCATTCGAAAAATTCCTTACTTATAAATAGCTTTAGTTTTGCACTCTTGGAACGATTCAACGCAAAGAATTTATTTGTATTATGATTATTCCGTCATAAAACTGCAATCCGTATACGTCATATAAATAATTTTGTTTCATATTCAATATTCAGTGCTGTACAAAATTTGACCTGATTCGTGTCCGTTGTACCAGTTGATTATTCTGTTATTCTTATATAGCCTCTAAATGTGATCAATATACCAACGCATCATTATTATTGTATTCAAATTTCATTTATTCGTTAAAAAGTTCCTTTGAAGTAGCATTGTTGTGCATTTTAATTGCATTACATAAATTTTGCTCACATGTCATGATCAGGTTGTACGATCAATCGATCTAGCCTGACAAAAAAGTTTGAATCTCATCAAATTTCCAGATAGAATCAATATCAGATCAGACTGCTCTTAATCTCTCAACAAACTGCAGTCATACTTGAGTTTCTTCCTCACGTTCCTAGCGGAACCGCCTGTAATAAATTGAGAATAAATGTAGTTTACAATTGGTGAAATTGTAAAATATATCTGAGAAAACATTTCTTGCTCCCCAAACGGATTATAATTGGTCATTAAAAGATCAGATAAACATTTCACAAAACAATCTCATTTTAACACGATTTTATCGCTGATCAAATTGAACGTTCGTCCTAGATTATCAATGGAAACGTATGCATCGTATAGCGATTGCTGTGTGTAATAATAGTTTTATCCTTGAAT